GGGGGGGGGGGGGGGCGTTGCATTCTTCCCCGAACTGCCAACAACAAAACTTGCAGGAAACGCATCCAAGGCAAAGCCGGAAGAAGATCATTAACGCTCAACGTATGACGCATATTTGCGCAAAGCTTTTTCATTTTTCCAAACTGTTCGGCGCTGCGATAGATAAGTTGAAATATATTCACATAAAAAGAAAGTTACAGCATGTAAATAGCCTGGTACGCACACCCACAACAGGTCTCTAAATATGGGTAGCCTAACTCGGAAATTTTACACCGCTAACACTCACGCTAACTCGATCTGCAGTCTCCGCAAAACTGCACGCAAACTACAAAGGGAATTGTTTTTTTAAGGTCGGTGACCAACACTAGCATTTCTAGGAGCGACCAATCTAAAACCAAAACTAGTAGAACCCAAATCAGGAGTGTTCTACGAGTCTATGGGATTTTCAACTGAAAAAAGTCATCTTGAAGATCATTCGGTGCAGCTTACAGCGTTGCCCTTCTTAAGATCTAAGCCCCTGTAGTTTCTGAGTACATGCCCGCGAGGATGTTCACACTTTTTCGGGGAGACTATTTCCAGGCCGCCCAGGTGTCCGTGACGCCATAATAATGTCATTTGAATCCTGCCATTGCATAAGCCATGCGGCGATCAAGCCCAATCAAAATATAATTGTCGAGTCGTTCAGATCTGGCGCTCGTGAGCACGATTTCCAGACGAAGCGGACATCAATAGGCTATCTCATTCAATGTTGTGTAGGGTATGACTTAATCTACTATTGACGTATTGAGTAGCGTATCCACTAAACCGGGAAATTGTGTTATTTAGAGCAGTCTTTTCCACTTTAAGGTATGCCAATAGTCATAATCGTGCTTATTTTGTCATATCTTGTTTCTTATCTTCTTGTTGTTTCTTGCTTGTTTCGAGATCTTCAAATTTGGAACATTCCCTTAAATGAAGTAGGTACGTAAACAGAAAAAGGATGAAGGAAGAAACGTATCAGAATGAGACCAGAGCCGTCGCACAAAAGCGGGCCCCATGATCCCATCGCCGGCCCCCGCAGCGTTATCCCCATTCCTTGTCCGGAAATCTCCATTCTCGTGAACTGGTCCAGGTACTCACGCCATCCCATGTCGCACAATGGCCTTATCTTCCCGGGGGCGGCACTGCTGCCTCGCCACTTCCCAAGGAGGCCTTTGCCGGCTGACCTGACCCTTGCGCGCCTGTCGGCGCCGTCGGCCGTCGCATCTGCGTGCCGACGCCGGCGAACGGAGCTGCGAGCAGTGGCGGCAGTTCTCTGATGACACCGCCTCGGCCGTAATGCCAGACGGCGCTGATGAAGTGGATGGGGGGGGGGGGGGGGGCGTCACCCCACTTTGAGGCGGGGATTGGCCTGACATTGGTGACATTCTCAGCCACCGGGGGAGCCGGAGGGCGCGCGCCGTCGGGAGCGGTCGCGATCGCTGGGGCTGAAGCGCACGGAGACGCCGCTGCTGGCAGCTCTGCCAGCACCCTCAGCACGGCTGCTGATAATGCTTAGCGGCGGCTGACAGCTGGCGACAGCTGGACAAGGTCGCTTGGCAGGAAGACTCCGTTTTGCAATGGGGTGTCCGAGCTAATCAGGTAATGCGAGCATGGGAAATCCTTCAGACTGCTTCAGAGGTGGTCGAAAAAATACTGGTCAGCACCAGCGGAAAAGCCCTGTTGAGTGCTGTTCGGGACCAGTGGGTGGCTACTGTAACAGCTAGCTAGCCAATGTAAGACGTTTGAGTGAAAAAGAGCCGATCCGAGTGGATACATCCTCGGAGGCCAATTACTGGCATCAAACCAATCAAGTTCCAACGATCAAATCCTAGCGCACAGCATATTCTGTCAGAACGTCATCTGAACAGGCGATCAGCAACCGTTCGACTGCTGACCGTGCCTGATCAGCGCCGGCCACGCCACGCGAGACATCTGGAAGTCATGCGTGGTCCAGTTGCTGCAACACGGCCAGCCCCGGCAGAGCGAAGCACCAGCAGCTGGTCAGCGCCAGCGGGGCTGTTGCTGACAGCCGGTCAGCTCTGGTGTAACAGCTGCTGATGGCGGGGGAGTCTGCGCCGCGAGCCGGCGCGCTGCCAGAGCCGCCCGCCATTGGGCGTCGCCCGTGCACGCGACACGATTGCCCACGATGCGCGGCCGCCACATAAAATCCGGTAGCCGCGCGATCAAAACAACTGCCGTCTGGTCAGTCGCAGCCTTCTGCCGGCCGGTTTCTAGTGTGGGCCTCCAGAAATCTCGTTTGGGCCTCGCTTGTTACTTTGTGACTGGAGGTCGTCAAAATCAGTATTGCTTATCTCAAAACGACCTCCACAACAACGCGAAATATGACGATGACATTGAAACTTAAGTAAGTTGCATCACGAGTCAAATTCGTTACATAACCTGTCATCACATTCTAATCCGTGAATACTTGTCAAAAACCTGTGTCGGGATCGCTGACGATCTACGCGCTCACATGCAGAACCTCAGCGCCGTGTCCTCAACTTGTTTCGGATTGCTCATTTCATGCCCACAGCACATGCCTGCACTGCATATTGTATCTGCATAACATGCGGATTCCGTGAGCCCAGAAACGGAATCCGCCATGTAAAAGGTACGGAGTCGATCTGCAAACACGACGAAACTCATGATACAACTCTGGGATGCTCCCGTGCCGTTAATGCGCGTGCAGTGTCTACAGATGACTTCATAATTATAATGACGTCCACAAAACGTATGCAGTTGGAGTGTCATTGTCAAAGCGGTAAATGACACAAGTGTCGCACTTTGACACCTGGCGGAAGGAGCCTCTGCCTCGGCACACGCGCTGTAAGGGATGGCAACAGACTTTTGACAGCAGAGTGTCTTCACCCAGTCCCCTACCCCACGCCCACCCCCATCGGCCTTCCGTCGATTTGCCAGGCACGGTCATTTGCCTCCCGTCTCGCGGACAAGCGCGGCCACGCCCACGCTATCTACGCTATCCTTTCCGCTGACGACGGATACCTGGCGGCTGTGGGGTTTCCAGCCAGGCACATCCGGCATGGACGGTGGTCTTAGCAGGATGACTGACTGCGCAGCGGAAAAAAGCCTTCGCGAAAACGCCGACGGCAGGGGAGTCTACGACTTGTGATTGCGCACAACAAAGTGTTAGCCGCGGTGCGCTGACGTGCGTGTCTCGCATCTCGGAACTGCCCGCTGTCCTGCACCTCGGAACTGTCCGCTGTCCTGCATCTCAGAGTGGTCCGCTGTCCTGCACCTCAGAGTGGTCCGCTGTCCTGCAACTCGGAACTGTCCGCTGTCCTGCACCTCGGAACTGTCCGCTGTCCTGCACCTCGGGACTGTCCGCTGTCCTGCACCTCGGGACTGCCCGCTATCCTGCAACTCGAAACTGTCCGCTGTCCTGCACCTCGAGGCTGTCCGCTGTCCTGCACCTCGGGACTGTCCGCTATCCTGCACTCGGAACTGTCCCTCTGTCCCTGCACATCGAGGGCTGTCCGCTGTCCCTGCACCTCGAAGCGGCCCGCTGTCCTGCAACTCGGAACTGTCCGCTGTCCTGCACCTCGAGACTGCCCACTTTCCTGCACCTCAGACCTGCCCGCTGTCCTGCAACTCGGAACTGTCCTCTGTCCTGCACATCGAGGCTGTCCGCTGTCCTGCACCTCGAAGCTGTCCGCTGTCCTGCAACTCGGAACTGTCCGCTGTCCTGCACCCCGAAGCTGTTCGCTGTCCTGCACCTCGGAGCTGTCTGCTGTCTCGCACCTCGGAACTGTCCGCTGTCCTGCACCCCGAAGCTGTCCGCTGTCCCGCACCTCGGGACTGTCTGCTTGTCTTGCACCTCGGTAGTGTCCGCTGTCTGTCCCGTCCGGCGCATACTCAACATATGGGGCGCAATCGCCGTGTGCAGGGCCCTGTGGGTGAGCTCACCGCGAGTCACTCGACGTCTGGCCTGCCCACAAAGCGACCTTGGTGCGCGTGGGACGTAAAGGCAAAGTGGTTAGCGCATCCGGCTCCCACGAGGGGAGCCCGACTTTGCATCTCGGTTACGTCATGGTCCAGAGCGGCGATGTGGCCTTTTTAACAAAAAAAGAGGCGTGAGTTACGGCACTCGCCGTCGGTCTGGTCTGGTCTGGATGGTCTGGATGCCCTGGTAACCGAGCCCAGTGTAAACTGCACTCTCTCGTACCGACCAGCGCATCCTGCCGCCGGCAGGCTGTCGCTCTGCGATCTGTGACCTGCGCCCGAACCAGACGGCCGGCACCCGAGCTCAGGCCACCCTCTCCCAGGGGCTGTTCCGATCGGCACCCGAACCAGACGGCCGGCGCCCGAGCTCAGGCCACCCTCTCCCCGGGGATGGTCCTGCCCGTCAACCCTACCCAACGCCGGCGCCCGAACTCATCCATTCTCTCCCCCCCCCCCCCATCTCTCTCTCTCTCATTCTTTCTCTCTCTCTGCGTCTGACCTAGACGGCGCGGCCGCCCTCGCTCAAGGCCACCCCCCCTCTCTCTCTCTCAGCGTCCGACCCAGACGGCCGGCGCCCGAGCTCAGGCCACCCTCTCCTGGGGCAGGTCCGATCGGCACCCGACCCAGACGGCCGGCGCCCGAGCTCAGGCCACCCTCTCCTGGGGCTGGTCCCGATCGGCACCCTGACCCATACGGCCTGGCGCCTGATCTCCAGGCCACCCTCTCCTGGGGCTGGTCCGATCGGCACCCGACCCAGAACGGCCGGCGGCCGAAGCTCAGCCACCCCTTCCTTGGGCAGTCCCGAACGGCAACCCGACCCAGACGGCCGGCGCCCGAGCTCAGGCCACCCTCTCCTGGGGCAGGTCCGATCGGCACCCGACCCAGACGGCCGGCGCCCGAGCTCAGGCCACCCTCTCCTGGGGCAGGTCCGATCGGCACCCGACGCAGACGGCCGGCGCCCGAGGTCAGGTCACCCCCTCTCCGACCGGTCCGTGCGGTGACCAGTCCGGGCTACTCACCGTCCTCGTTGCCGTCCGCGTCGCGCGGCGCCGCCGTCATGGTGCCTGGCAGCTGGAGGCGCACCGTCTCGTTGGCCTGCCGTCCGGTGACCACCTGGAGCGCGTCGTCCCACTCCCACGGGCACTCGGCCTCCTCGAACGAGCACAGCAGCCCTGCCGAGCACGAGCACAGTGCACTGGCCAGCAGCCACAAGCCGGCCGGGCCGCCGCGCGCATGCTGCCCCGGCCGTCGACGCGCGCTGGCGGCGCGCGCGCCCGTCGCCGCCGACGGGGGACGACTGGCGGCGTCGGCGGCGTCGAGCACGCCGGCGCCCGCACCAATATGGATCGGCGCGCCGCGCCGGGCCGAGAGCAGCGGAGGTGCTGGCTGACACGCGGCGCCGCGGCGCGACGCGTGGGACCGACGCACGGGCGGCATCGGGCGAAGCGCGCGCGTCGGCGCCGGCACGTCAGGCGATGTCATCAGGCGGCGGTGCTAATGACGTCAGCTGCTACCAGCGACGGCATGTGATCTGATGATTGCGGGCGGGACTGTGGCGGGGCAGGGCGTGCTACACGCCGCATTTCCCAGACGGCCTTGCGGTAGGAGAGCGGCTGATAGACTGGAGAGATCAGCGCCACAGAAGACCCGTCTGGCCACCAGACACTGCTAAATGAAGTCGTCTTTGATAGCGCTGAGCGCGTGACAACATGGGCATCGCTCGAGCTGTTGGTTAGCCCGACGCTGAATGTGAAATCCAGCATATGAGGCATGGGTATAAACGTACACCTCCACTTACCAATATACATCAATGCATGCACACATTCACGTATATAATATATATATATATATATATATATATATATATATTGATGTGTACATCAGAGCACATTACGCAATTGTAATCAAATAAATCAGATAGGCGTCGAAGGAGCAGGATGTGCTTTGTGAGCCGAACGGAGATGTAATGGGTTGTATGCCAAAGAACATGCAAAAAAGCCATAGGGCACCCTTTTTTGTAGGAGTAAGGCCCTAATCCGAAATCCCCGCACGCTTTTCATGGTCACGCCCGCATAATTACATTAGACGACCAGGTCCAATTTCGAAGCCTTCTCCGAAGATCTACCATTAAAACTGCCTCAATCACGAAGTGGATCCAAATACGGTTACGCCGGCCTCACTTTACTGATGAGCCACCCCGGCGAAGGGATGGGGACACCAAACACCGAACGCCGGCCGCTCGTTAAGGAAGGACGGCATTCGTAGCCATCGCGAACGGCGAACTCAATCGGCAAGGTCGTTTAGAGGTCAGCGCAACGCACATGCCATTAGCGACATGCCAACAGGTGCCGAGTTGGAGGTGTACCGAGCTCGCGCTGATGTGCGTGCGCTGTTTAATCCTCGCGCCACGGGATTCAGCGGCCAGACGCGTCCCACTGGCGGGGGGGGGGGGGGGAGGGGCGAGATTTGCGACCCTGTCTGCCTCCAGAACTAATGCAATTTGAATCACGCGCCAATACAAAGGTGAACGGAAAACGCTTCTAAAACACTCACTACGTTTGGTCTCAATGTCAAAGTTCAGATCAGACATATCAAGAGTAAAACAATGCATCGGGGCTTCAAGACTGCACCCGAACAGAGGCACGTAGTTCATCCTTCCAAAGCAATAAGTTCGGTCAGACAGATCAAAAGTGAATCAATGCATCGAGGTTTCAAGACTGCACACGAACAGAGGCACGTGGCTCATCCTTGCAACACAATGCTGCGATAGACACCGGCACAAATATAGAGGCTTGTGTGCAGCTGCCTGCACTCGGCTTCGGCTGGCCTGGTCTGTCTGGGCGCTGGGGTGGCCGGCCGGACCTGGCCTGGCCGTTCAAGTCCGTCCGGCTGGTCTGGGCTTGGGTCATCCTGACCGGCGCGATGCGCCGGGGCGCAGCCGTGTGTGGTGCTAAATGATTGGCTCGTGGTCACGTGACCGCCTCTGGGTCAGGCCTCCGGGCACGGGGAACGGTATCGGACTGGCAGAGCCGGGCGAGCACCGGTGTGCCAGATGCCGGCGTCCAGTGGATCTAAGGGCTGAAGTGCCTAGTATACCACGTACGACACGCGTCGCAGCCGACTTTGACCATACGAATGCTAAGTAAACGCATAAGTCAAGGTTAGGTCAAACAAAATCAGCATAGTAGTCTTTTCATTTAATTTTTAATTTTTTGTTTTTTTATTAATTTCATTCATTTAGTCATCATTTCTATTTGATGAGTGTAACGCAGCGAAAGATTTGCAAGTGCGCACCTGGGTGACTGTGGGAGCCAATCAAGGTCAAATTAAGGTCAGGTCATAGGAGGTCATATAACACGTGCTCCGGGGCTATACGTGACAGCACATTGCAGTGCAAATGTTTTTTCATTGCATGATCTGGCCATTTGAAGCGATAATATAGTCAAGGTCGGACGGCCGCCTCAGTCATGAAAGGATTTTGAAATTGGCAAGCTACATCCTTGAACCAAATACAAATAT